GGTACGGATCCCGAGGATTTCATTGATTACTTACAAGCTATTGAGATCTTCGAGTATAAAGATGAGTCAGAGGATAGATGGGTCAAATTATTTGCTATTAAATTGAAGAAAAGTGCCTCTTTGTAGTGGGAGAACATACAACGAAAAATGAAAACGAGGGCAGCGAGAGGATTACTAGTTGGGAGAAGATGAAACAGGCGATGTAGAGGAAATACCACCTAATCCATTACCGCCAGGATATGTTTCTTAGACTCCACTGCTTGCAGCAGAGGGGTCTATCAATAGAGGAGTTCACAGAGTAGTTTGGTCAGTTATCCAGAAGGCTTGAAGCTAGCTATTAGCGATGTGGTAGAACTACAACTTTATTCGTCACTTGGAGATGTTCAGACACTAGCGCTAAAAGTGGAGAGACAGCAGAAGTAGAGCAAACAACGGTCATTCTTCAGGTAGGAACCATTAGGCAGGCAATCGCCTACAATTACAATGTTGGACACAAATACCCCGAGAGGCACAAGCAAGCCCACACAAGGAAATGACACTCCGAATCAGAACGGGAACAAGCAAGAGAAATGAAACTCCAACACCATAGCGGCCAAGAAATGTTACCGATGCCATAGCTATGGCCACGTAGCCTCTAGCTGTCCCACTAGCAGGGCAGTCACTCTCACAGATCAGGACGTCATAGAAGGGATTAGTGATAAGGAGAAAGCTGAGAAACCGGGTGAGGTGTATCAGCTTCCACCAGATGAGAGAGAAGCACTTGTGACTCGACAGATTCTGCAGACTGAAGATAGGGGATTCGCAGTGGCTTCACCACAACATTTTTTACACCCGCTTCATAGTGAACGGGAAGGTATGCAGTTTTATCATCGATGGTGATAACAGCAAGAACGGGTGTCGACTCAAATAGTAGAAAAATTGGACTGACAACTCAGAGGCATTCCTAGCCATATTCACTGACGTGACTGAGGAAAGAGAATCTGGTCAGCATCGATTGAAAATGCCTGTTAGAGTTTTCAATTGGAAGCCAGTTACAGGACCAGGTATGGTGTGATGTGGTCCCAATGGATATCTGCCACCTTCTGTTGGGAAGACTGTGGCAGTTTAACCGGAGGAATCAACATGATGGATTCAAAAACACATACTCATTTATCAAGGAGGGGAAACACATCATTCTACTTCATTCGACAGAGCCCGAGATCACAAAAAATCTTACTTGCAAAGCGACGTCGGTGGGGCCAGTTCTAGTGACAACACAGGATGAGACATCGGCCCCAGACACGAGACAGTTGTGCTAGAGAGGATGTCAGGACCGCACAGTGAACACTGTACCACCAATTCCACCACTGGACGGAGTGATGCAAGGTACTTTCACTGCACAGTCTCTGGAGAGTGGATCGATGGGGATGGGAGCGCTTAAGTGGTGCTGACTGCTTCGATGCTTCAGGCTACAGTGTAGTCAACAGTGGGACTCAAGTGCCACCAGGATTAGAAAGGAGCCAGAAGCTTTGACGAATAAGGTCGAAGTTCTCCCAACCCCGAGATACTGATATGGCTACGGCATCTCCCGCATGAGAGCGGGAGACAAGCCATCTGGTTCAACTGGCTGGCATAGAAACCTATCCTGGGAGGCTGGTCGTGGACTCCAATAGAGTCGAGCGGGTTTTCTGTCGTATCTCTCTATTCGAGCTACACTGTGAAAGGGCAGTAGTGCCTCTTGCCCTCTTCTTCTTCCTTTTTTGCTTCATAGTTTAGAAGTATTTTATGGCTGATTTCGGAATATTTCTGGTCTCCTTATCCCTTCCTTTTGTGTAGGAGTTTTCTTATTAAGCTCTTTCCTTTCTTCTTCTTGTAAGAGCCTATTTATTTGTTGTTTTCAAAGTTTAGGATTTAACCTTTTTTGTGTGTTGATTTCAGAATTCCTCTGTGGAGTCTTTTCCTTTTCGTTGGGTTGTATCCGAGAAGGTGGTAGTGCTCTGGTTGTATCCTACTTTCCCAATCTGTCTCTTTCACTCCCTTGAGCCGCCAGCTACTCCAAGCCTTTCCCAACCGCCTCCAGCCCACTTTTCAGCCGCCCAACGTGCTGTCCAAACCCTCCACGCCCGTTGTCCAGGCCTACAACCTGCTGTCCAGACCCGCAACCTGCTGTCCAGACCCGCAACCTGCTGTCTAGTCGCCAGACCTGCTGTCCAAACTCACGATACTTGTTGTCCTTGCCATTCGGCACCCCCTCTTTGCTGCCATCAGTACCCCCTTGCTGCCACTACCTCGACCAACCATCCTAAATCACCTAGCCGACTTTCACTGCCCCTGGAATACACCTTAGAGGTGTTTGCTCGTGTCCTTCATGTTTTTTGTTATTATTTTCTGTTATGTTGTGTTGTAACCCTGTTTTCCCATTAATAAAAGTTGCTTTGTGTGTTTCCGCTGTTTTCCTATTAGTTCTTGTATCAAATGAGTTCTCCATTGAGACGTTGAGTTTTGTTGTTTGGAGCAAGGGTTTGATCATTCCTTTAGGTTTACTTTTGATTTTTATGTGCTACCCATAGTTGAAAACCTTTTCGTAGGTGCGACAAGATTATCATGTTGGTGTTGGTATTAAGGGAGGCAGATTGACGGGGTGTTGTTTCAGCTGAACCGATTAGGGCTCAGCGGGATAGGGCCGGTCCAGCAGGAGCGGGAAGTGCCACCCAAACCTTCTCCCCCACCTTTTCATTTTCCAACCTATTTTTCCTCTATTAATATGCGTTTTTGCTGAGTCTAGGGTCAGGCTGTGTTTTGTTTCAGATTTCTGTCTATAAGCTTCTCCCCCTTGCTAGGAATGTATCCGAGAACAGGTAGTGCTCCTGCTGTATCCTGCTTTGAAGTGGTAGCTATCCCCCTTTGATTTCCTTTCTGGCGCTTCTCCTACCTGCTTACAGCTGCCACCCTCTTGTTCTCTTCTAGAGCCCAGCCACCAGTGGCTATATCCCCTCCCCTCCTTTCTTCCCCTTACTCCTAGCCGCCAGCCCGACCTCCTCCTTCCCCCATGTCTCCTATTCTAGCCCACCTACGGCCTCCTCTTACCACACCTCCTCAACAACCACCCAAGAATCCATCTCCCTTTGTCCCCTAATTTAGACCACTAGCCCCTAACTTCTCCTGCTCCACCTACCCACCTCCATCTCTAGCCTAATCCACTGCTACCACCGAGCCACCACCTCTACCAACGGTTACCACTCCCCCATCTTTATTATGTTTTTTATTTCTATTTGGAGGCTTGATTGTAACCCTAGTTGCTTGCTTAATAATATTTGCTTTCATTATTTTGGTTTGGGTTAACTTTGGTATCACTGACTTTGGTAGAGTTTAGCTTAGGAGGGCATTTGTATTGTAGATGTGGAGACAAGGGGAACCACTCGAATGCTCTTACTCGTTGGAATATTTATTTTTTGTTATATGATGAACATGTGGTACCCAGTGTCCACGTGGGAGCCTATAATAGAGCTAACTTAATGTATAACCTAGTTAATGCGGCTTATAAAAGTTATGTCCAATGTGTGTTCAACATATGCTTATATTATTACAAGCTAGTTTAAATAATCTTGAGTTTTTTATGGTTATTAATTGGGTATGATTTTATATTTATTTAGTAAACAAATCCCATTTTTGGCAACTTCATTTGCAGATCCTCCAGCTGTTATTACAACTAGTTTAGGAGCAGTAACTTGAGTTTAGAATTTATTATTATTTTTTGCCTTGCACTATTTCTATGATGATAAAGAAATGAAAACATAATAAGATCATATGTTGAAGAAAGCACTGTAAATAATTTAACGAAACCTTAATTGCTTTAGCGGATGGCAACTCCTAAGCAGGCAACATCATAATAGATGAAGAGGTGGGGGAAAGCCCTAATTTAGATAGGATGGACGAAAGGATAACCTTGCACTATCCGAAGTTAAAGATCACGTTCTAGTTTGGCATGAGGAGAAGAATAAAAGACCATTGGATGTAAGATTGACACCTAAATTGCTTGTGGAATAGAAACTCCGGGCTCCATATTAAAAAGGAGTGCTGAAATCATGAGATGTTGATGCTTGCAAATGCATAGATTAGGAAGCATGTAATGTGTCATGCACCTGAGTGAGATACACGCTTATTTGGCTACAAATGATGAACATTTTCATTGATCATTATGCAATAGGTTAGGGCACACTATTGCTATAATTGGTCTTTATGTTTTGAAGTAGGTTATAATTCATATGTTGATGTCATCAATCTGTTAGAAGAATTTGGTAATTTGTGAAGTTCGTTAGAACCCTTTGTGTAAATCGAAGTTCAATTAGCATGAGCACAATGATCGGAGACCCTCACTATTTTCTTTTGATGGGAAGTTAAGAAGGAAGAGTAATAAGTTATGGCTATTAATGGAAAAATGTACAGTGAAAAAGGATTTACAAAAGTTTTTCATCAACCTTGAGAAATGTCTGTTGCCAGAAGCGGACTTGGCAATGATAAAGAAAGAAGTAAGTCAAATCCTTGTTGAAGCTCTTAAAGATACATATGATGGTGCATTAATTAGTATTAGAAGTAGTTATGGAGTGCTCTTGATATTATTTTTTTAATCTTTTATATTTTATGTTTAATTTAATCAATTAATATTCCACAACTAAAACATAAATCACTGAAACTTTTTCTTTGCCGTTTAGAACAATTGTTAAGGTTTGAATCTCGTATTCTTGATGCTAAAAAGATGTATTACCATTTTTATTTGATATGTTACAAACATTATGAATATTTAATGAGTTTAGTTCTTAAAAATATTGTTTTCTACCCTTGTGTATCCTTCATAGGGTTGGTTCTTTTCTGCTAGCAATACGTATTTTCCAAGCATCATAACAAAGCCTTTCGTTTGTCTTTTCTTTGACAGACTACTGTATACATAATTTTTTCTTTGACGTAACTGGAATATGAGTAAAATATGAACCTCTTCTACTGAAGGTCTTTTGTTTTTTCAGGGTAGTTTTTTATCGTCAATTTTAGATGGCATTTTGAAGCTTTCAAAATATACAAGAGTTGATGAAACTGAATTAGATGCTCTGCAGTCCATTCTTATGAAGCTTCTCAAGTACTTCAGTAGCATAGAAAATGCTTTTGCTTCGGTAACATATCTTTGGTAGTGCTTTATTTCCGCTAAACATTAGATGCATTATCTTGTCATGCTAATGTCTTGGGAGAATTTATGTTATATCATTTACATTTCTATTTGGCTAATGTTTGTTTTCTGTCTGAGCCTTTAATTCCTGATTGATTGTTTTTTTCTTCATTCTGGAGCTGCAAAGATTGCATTTCTAATCTTTTTTCAAAGTTGCTTTGGAAACTTGACTATGTGAGAGTTTATTGAGAAAATAAATTAAGACTTAAAATTAGTGCATTATTTAGATATACGTCAAGTAGTTAAATGATTTGGAAGCATATGATATTGATAGCATTTTCTAATAAATTGAGACATAAACTTAGTGCATTATTTAGATATACGTCAAGTAGTTAAATGATTTGGAAGCATATGATATTGATAGCATTTTCTAATAAATTAAGACATAAACTTAGTGCATTATTTAGATATACGTCAAGTAGTTAAATGATTTGGAAGCATATGATATTGATAGCATTTTTTTTTTCAATCTCTAGGAACAATTTATGGCCGTATATGTATTGCTACATGGAATATCTCAAAATGTGATCAATCTGCATATTCTTGAAAAAGCTACAAGGTATGTCACATTTTTAACTTTTCAAGTTGTTTCTATGATTGTAGAACTTCCAAACAGTTAGTGCTCCAATATATAACTACTGATATAAAATTTCTTTTAATTGCACTAGGGCTTCTATGTGGTATGCAATATTCTTTATGGCACCAAGGGTTAGCCCACACAACAATAGGAAAGTAAATGTTATTACTTAAATTTAAATATTACAACCAATTGAAATAGGAAAAAACAATAGACATAACACACCAACTCCCACTAGGTTTGGATCAAGGTGAGTGGTTGAATCTACTAATTGTTCTGCATGCTCCTTTTCTTTCATCTTTTCTCTAATTAGAATTTAAAGTAGAATTCCTTGCTTGTGTTGTGGCGAAAGAATCCATTGGACCTCTAACTCTAGGTGGCCTCTGGGAGGAGCAACTAATGTTGAATTTGTAGCATTTAACCTTCATCAATATTTATTGCATTGCTTCTAATATCATTTATGACATTATCACGTTGTGCTTTGGCTTTTGCATCTTCTAATGTTTTCCTGCTTCTCTCTTGAACTTTAGTACTGGCTTTAGCACATGGCTTGTCCTTGTGTGTGCCTGCAAGATGTTATTTTATCTTGTTTATTGTTTCACTGTATACTTGATTGCAAGACTTACATCTAAAATATTTGTAATTGGGTAAGCTTGTTGTATATTGTCATGCAAAGTCTTTTTTGCTAGTGCGACTACTACCGATTACACAATACTCCATTTCCATAACAAGTTAATAACTAACCTAATACATTAAAAAATTATATCAAATCAACCTCTAGCAAATTGTAAACATGAAAAGAAAAATTATAGTTTTCTGGTTACATGAAGAAATTTGTGGTTTATTGGTTAGAGTGTCTAGCAAATCTTCAACATGAAAAAAAAAAGGTTGTGGTTCACTGTAGCACCTGCAGTGAAATTACTATAGCTATAGTAACCTCACTGTAGTTACAGTTCATAAAAGCATAAAAATCTGGTATATAATCAAATTTGTGAGGCTGCAGTAACCAAAATATTACAAACCTCACTACAGTGAAATGATAAATTAAAGAATACTCATACAATTTTATTTTTTGTACACACAGTAACAAAAAAAAAACCGCAAACCTCACTGGCAACAAACAGGATGAAGGTGACATGCGAGAGCCTGCGTGCGGGATGAAGATGACACTGACGGGATGAAGACGACACTGACGATGTGAGTGTGTGAATAAACCGTGTGGAGGAGAGGAAGGAAAATGTAGAAGAAGAAGAAGGAGAAGTTGAAGGAACAAGGAAACTTGTCGAGTTCGACTCTGCATGAAATGAGGAAGTAGAGTGCCTTCAGGGGGATGATTGCGTGCGGCTTGAATTCGATAGTTATTTAAAATTAGAGTATTTTCACCCTTTTTATCCGGTTAGGAGGCGGGGCATACGTCCTGTGAGGCGCGTATAGTGGTTTGCTTCTTTTCGGGCGTAAGCCCTACGCGATTTACGCTCACCTCGTGGGCTTAGGGCAAAAAGCCTTACGCCCCGCCCCGAGCGCGCCCCAAAAATGTTTTTTTAAACAGAGCTAACATGCACTATAGCAATGGTTGCTCAAGCTCTTCAGGCATGCGAAACTGAATGATGCGGGAGGAAGAAATGAAATGGAGTGCGATATATAACTTTGATCCTATATAATCCAATATGTTCGATTCATTTCGGGTATGCCTTAAATTTGCCAACATTGGGTGTTGCAGGCCAGATAATTTTTTTTATTTATGAATGGTGTAAATTTTAAATTTGGCTAAATCCGCCGAATTATAAATTTAGCCAAAATCAACTTAGGTGTAAATTTCAAATCATGCATATTTTATATTGTATTTGTAATTCTTTATGCCAGACATTTAATTTATTTTTCTTTGATTGGGTAACCTTGGTGAAGATTTTATAGATTCTCGTGGTTTGTTTATAACTGGAGCTAATGTTTTTTGATGTTGCAAGGCAGATCTGGTTCAATATCTAATCCCACAACCATACAAATGCTGTTTGAAATCTCTAAAGCGCTTCTTGACAGCATTGATATTTTAAATAAAGATTATCAGCGAATCTCACAACTCATCTGTCACTTTGTTCAATTGGTATGTCAAGTCAATTTGCTTAGAAAATTATTTGTTTATGCTCAATTTCTTAAGTGCTGAAAATGTTTTAGTTTTGACTGAACTAATAATATGGATCTTTCAGGTTGGTTTTGGTGATGATAGAGAAAGCCATTTAACATTCTTAGTTACATGTCGCTCAGCTTTCAGTTACTTTGACATGATTGTGGTTAGTGAATCACATGCTGGAGTGTTTTGTTTTATTTCCCGTTTATTTTATTTCATCGAAACAAACCTCATGTTTTAATGTGTTAAATGACCTATGAAAAATATGCATTAATATGTTTTCTAAACTTTCCGGTGGCACTAATTTAGGGCTCTTAGATGGTGTGAAAGGATCAAAGGATGGGTTGGATATCAGTGGAAAGAGAAATGGAGCACAAAATGGTGGTGACGGCTAAAAACTGGTGCGGCTGGTGACTTGATAGCGAGTCCGGCATAGAGAACCTAAAGTAGACTTGTAGTAGAGGTGCGGGTAGGTATCCAAATAATTGGGACAGATCCCTATCTGGATTCAATCAAACTATGGGCACACCACCTAAAAATCTAAGAATACAATACTTCAACGCAAGAAAACTAAAGAAAACAACCTTTATTGAATGAACCAAAAGTAGGAAATTGCAACGTATGAATAGTTCTAATTAAAATAATATTAGAAGGGCCTACAAGGGCTGGCAGTAGCAAACAGGCTGGAGAATCCCATTGTTTTGTTCTTCACATGATGGAGCTCAGTCCCGCTCCCGTCATATGACCATGGGATTGCGACAGATAGCTCGCGGATCACTCTTCAAAAGTCGGAAGGCATGCCATATATGTTGAAATTGATTGAGAAAATTATTAAGTTAAGCGATTTGGTTATTTCTAGACTGTTTATTTAAGTATATGAGCTTGAGACCAACTTCGAGATATTTATCGCAAGGCTGACCCAACAACCAATTTAGATGCTTAAATGCTACATTAAAATGTAAAATGCTGTACAGGACTATCGCATGCTTTTGTTTATTAGTAAATTCATTTATTATGTGTTGGTATTTAAATATTCGTTCATATTAAGCATAATTATTAATGTTAATTGTTACTGTCAACTTGATATAAGATATGTGCATATTGTCAATTCATAACATTTCATGGAAATACAACTACACATACAAATTATTTATTATTATCTATCATATTGTAATTTTTGTGCATATTAGTAAAGTGATGGTTTACAAATACATGCATATGAAACAAATGAAGATGATAAAAAAAATATCATGTAATTTGTGATTGGTAGGTAGCTTTATCGTTTAACTGTGCAAGGAAGGATAATTTTGACGAGATAGAGTCTCGATAAGGAAATGATTGAATTCTCGACTCTTAATATTCAGATTTGTGTGGATCAATTGATATCAGGGTGGGATCCTTTATTATCGGCTATTGTAACAAATGGACTAGGTGATAACCTAATAAAATGAAATGTAAGATTCCATTCAAATATAATGTAATAATGCTAAAACAAAGAATGTTGATATTATGGGTAGAAAGGAAAACTAAAAGCGTATATTACATTATTTAGTATGGTGGCTTAAAATGATTTGTCCGTAGTATTATATATTTTTGGCACCTATTGCATGTACAGTTTATAACCACGTTATCTTTATTTTTTAAGTATGGAAGTATAATTATTTAATATTGTTATTATTATTAATGTTAGTCAGCATGCTTGCTACCTTTTTTCTTTCATATTTGAATCTTTTTTAGCAATGTTTATCTGATTATGGATGCAGCAAATGAAATATTATAATATTAGCTTTTAGGATAAGGAATGGGTGTACCGTTGGTTAGGAGGATTGTCATTTTTTATAGCCTCTGATATTACAATTTTATTATATAGACATTTGTGTATATATGAATTTATTTTTTGAAGTTTTTTTAGAAGCTCTGTATTTTATTTAAGAATTATGTTGTACACGCTTCCTTATTTATGTATGATACCAATAAATATTTAGAGACGTAATTTATCACACTTATCTAATTGACGAGTATATGTGAGAGTAAGTGCTAGTCAAAATTATGTCTAAGTGAATTGTCTGCTCTGTTACACCTCTACTTGTCCTGAGGGAGTGAGTTGCAGCGTGACACTATTAGTGAGTTGTGCCTTGATTAAGCTAAATGTTACTTCTCAATTTAAAAAAGAAGTGTAGTTTAGCTCCTCTGCTTGTTGATATTTGTAAAATGTTATATTTGAAAGCATCTTATTTTATTTTTTGTCTTAAAAAATATTTTGAATACCATGGTAGTGATCATCAAGGGTTTGAGAGGTGGTGGGATGGTTGATGAGGTGGTATGTAAGTATAAAATAGTAAGACAATGGTTTCCTAGTTTTGGACAGCAAGTACGCAACACGTGCCACGACTGTCTAGGATGATAGCAGCAAGGTGATTGGGTTGGAACAACTGTGGTTGGAAAAGGGATGGGAATGGTTATGGAGGGATGGAACAACGGTGATAGAAAATGGGAAATGCTAGAATAATTTGGCAGCGAGGATGGAGGGCTGGAATGACGATGTGGAATGCAGTGGATTGTTGGACAGCCAAAGGAGGGTTGTTCTGGGCGAGGGCAGGACGGAGAATAGTTAGACAGTGAGTAAACTACAGGAAAAATAGCAAAAGGCTATTGTTGGGGTGGTTTGCTGCTAGGAAGAGGGCGAAGCAGCGAAACAGCGAAGCGGGAGTGATACAAAGGAGTTGGGAAAGGAGAAACACCGCCTGGAGACTAAGATACTACCGAAGCACCGCTGGAACCATAAAATACTGGCCTCAAAGGGAAGAAGAGACGTTGGCGGCTGTTCCAACAGAAAGCACAAAAAACTAATTCTAGACTCCTATAAAAAAAAATATAAAATAATATGATAACTAGGAGTGACCCAAGAGGACCAGCCGACTCCTTAACAGAGACCAAACTTGGACCAATTCGATCCAGGTATTGTAGTCAGGTTGCATATATATATATAGATTGTGTGGAAGGGCCCAAGCATGACACCCTTCCCCCACAATAACCACCACATACAAAAGGTTCCAAAAAAGAGAAAATACAGAAAATTACATGAGAGACCTAAATAAAAAAAACAAAAAAAGCCAAAATACGTAGTATCAAATAGCTAGAGAGCGACCCAATTTTGCTGCCTTTGCCCCTAGTTCCAAGAATGGAGCCAGCTAATAAATTGGTAAAATGAGTGTCATCTAGTAATTGACCAAAGTATCATCCAATAAGTTCCCGAGCTCGAGTCGGCCTCCAGTCTTCTTGCTACTGGAATAGACTTGTCATTCATCATCCGAAGATTGGCTCGCTTGATCAGTGGATTGGTTTAAAGTGTGTCGAACATGTATAGAATGTTGAACATTAGAAATAACTGATTGTTGTACAGTTGATCTTTTATTTACCATTATTAGAGAGGTTGAATAATTTTGATAAGTATTTGATAACATTGTTTCAGTAGTAAAATCTACTTTATTTAAATCTATTTTATTTATTTATTCTATATCTTCAGGATCAGAATTAATATTTTTCTCAGAAAATTTTTTACTTTCTGATAATGCGATTATTTTTTTCTTTTTTATTGCCATTGTTATTTTTTTAACTTTAAATATAATTTTTTGTTTATCTTTTTTATATGTTTGAATCATTTTTTGTTGAATTTTTATTTTTATTTTTATATTGTTCTTCTAATTTTTCTATTCTAAATAATATTTTTTCATTATTTAATTGTATTTTTTCTAATTCAAAATTTATTTTTTGTAATGTTGTGGAAACATCTATTCCTTCTTTTGGTTTCACAAAATCTCTATGATTAAGGTTATGGTTTTTCTTTTAGTATAAATGACATATTTCCATAAGACATAATTGACAACGATATCAATGATTTTTATATGTGTAATAATTACAATAAATACATTCTTTAGTCATACTTTCTTTTCCTAATTCAAAAAGATGTTCACAATGTTCCATTATCTTTCTAATTTTCACCTATCAACTGCTCTAAGTAATTCTTCATGCATCTGAGACATTTTTTGCTGTTTAATTTATTCTCAATTTTCTTTTATTATTATTGGTAAACTCTTTTGGTCTAAATCAGATACGCAACTTACTTTTTGTTCAGCCAATGTTCGTATTATTGACGATTTAGATAGTATATGATTTTCATACATTTCTTTTTTTACATTGATTAAATTTATCTTTCCATTATTAAATTTATCTATTTGAGATTCTATATCTATTATTTTTGATATTTTTTTATCAAAATTATAGTTTTTGTTAAATAAGGTAAGTGGTCCTTGTTTTTTTACCATATTTTATAACTTATAGGTTTATAAAGTACAATTTATTTTCCATGAATAACTTTTTCTGAAAGATTTTTAAAATTTGTTTGAGTAACTATTCCTAGCATTCTTTCTTCCATATTTTTTAATTTATTTTCTATAGTAATCGTTTTTTCAAATAATCTTATTAGCATTATTGTTTGAAAGTTTAATATTTTAGGATAAGTTTCAATGCTCTGCAACTTCACCAAGTAGCTCAGCCCTACTCCTCGTATCGATTTGACCATGGTTTTGAGCAACATTATAGTTTTATATAAACTAACATCTCCTCTCAGCACCATCTTCCTACCCTCCATTTGGAACTCCATCGTCAAGGACTGTCAATCCACATTCATCTCTCCAAGCGTCCACAGCCACTTCACCCCAAATTCACATCTATGTTGCTTAAATTCAAGGAAAAGAAGTCCACCTTTTGTAAGCCTTGTAGTGTCAGAATCAACCCCTTGCAAATTCCCCGATTCTTCTCCACCTTTCCTATCCTCATCATGATGCTAAAGCTCCCTATAGTCACAAGCTTCAACTCTAGCTTCTCTATGATATGATTTGAAATAAAGTTATGGGTGACCTCGCTCTCCACTAACACCACAATCAGTTGTCTCCCAATCCACCCCCTCAGCATCATGGTCTGATTTAAGGTAAATCCCAACACTGAATCAAGGGACACTTCCGCAACATCCAAATGCAAATGCTCCTCCATTGCGTCCTCCTACGATTCCTCCCTCTCCATCAAACTAAAAGGATCTGAAGGTTGTGATCCCTCTGCATCAGGGGCCTGGGGCATCTTTCTCGTCATGACGGTGACATAATCATTTTGCTCTTTTATCTTGCACTTCAGCATCGGTGAGGCTTAAAATTGCCCTCGATACAGCCCCCCCCCCACCCCTCGTATTTTTCTCCTTTGGTCTTTCTTCTGAAATGGCACCGCCTGGGTCCTCGGTGTCTTGGTCGTCAAGGTGCTCTTGTAGAATACTTCGATGTTGCCCATTTGCTGGTCTTTTTCACATTTTTCTTATCCTCCATCATTTGGGCGAGCTCTATCATTTCCCTCAATCCACGTGGTTTCAAGGGTCGGATGGTTGCTCGTATGTCAGGCTTTAGGGCTTTCAAGAAGTTTCGTTCCAGTCTTACTATAGAAATACTCAACCTCACTGACAAGAGCTCTAACTTCTCCCGATATTCCGTAATTGTCCCCTTCTTAGTCAGAGCATAGAAATGATTGTGTAGGTCTCATTCTTGAATGGCTCGGAAATGCTTCAACAAGCAATCCTTAAACTCCTCCCATGAGTGCATCAGATACCTTGCCTCCATCCACGGAAACCAGGCTAAAGCCTTCCCTTCAAACATAATCCTGTTGCCATAAACTTTTCTTCCTCAGTTAACCCATTGACTGCAAAGTATCGCTCCACCTGAAACCACCAATGTGCATTTTCCCATTTGAGGATTGGCATCTTTGATTTTCTGACCCTTGCATCTCCACCCCAACTTCTTCCTCTGGTATTTCTCATATGTATCTAGGGTGAAACTCCCTCCTCCGTTCATAGGCAAACCCAACTCTCGATTCCCTCCTTCCACCTTCCTTCTTCGTGCCCTCCAATTTTTGGCATATTGCCCTCCATCGGAAGTCTCCACCCCCTCCTCTCGGAGTCCTAGGGGGATGCTCTTGGTGTTGGATGATGTCATCCTTGTTGCCCTCTCATTTCATCTCCTTTTTTGACCCGGCTAAGGATTTCCTGATCAACCCTTGGTTATAGTTTACAACTAGAGCGATTGGCATGATCTTGGACTGCATCTCTATGAGCTTTTTTATTATCTACCACATTTCTCCTATCTTCTCGATTCCGTCTTTCATTTGGCTCTCATTGGAATAAAATTTGTCCTCCATGATGACAAACTTTTCTTGCATTCCCGATATGATTTGCCCTACTTCTCCTTCTAGCACATTTATTTTTTTTGCCATCCCTCCAATATCTTGCTCTGATACTGATTTGATACGCTCTGGAACCAAATATAGCGAGCAAATAACGACTAAACAGCAATAGATAGATGGAAAATACTCAAATGAGGGCCACTGTTACGAAATTCAAAGGAAAAGAAGCGAGATACAATGATGATCTATTTTTCGAGAAGTAGATCGTCTCTCCCACAACCCTAGACGTCTCTGGGAGCACCACAAGAAGAAAAGAAAATAGCAACAAACAAAACATGCATAACAAAATAAACCCTAGGTTATTCCCCTTAACATAATCCTTCCACAACACTTCAAATTTTTCCTCCAAACTTTTCCCTTAAACTCCAATTTCTTCTCTTGGCATACGTGATTAACGCCCACATGATACCCCTCCTGTTCGCTGGCTTCTTCGGTCACGGGATCCTCTAGATGTCGAGCTGTTCGGCGCTTGGATGGTATGGGCGGCCCGCTCGCCTATTGCTTGATTGGTCCTGCCTAGCCGATTGAGTTATGGGCGTAAACTTATATGTTATTTTTAATCGCCCTGGGATTTCCATGGTTGACTTGATTTAAACACAATTTTGTGCAATTGGCAGTGATATTTTGTTTTTATATGGTCATCATGGTTGTATTTTAGTTGAGCTTTTGTTTTTATTTTTGTTCAATTTTTTTCTTCAAAATTCTTTTCTGCAGGATACTCTTGTTCTTTTGAGTAATAACCTTGCAATTGGAGCAATTAAAGGGTCAAACAAGCTGTTAAACTTTGTTAAAGCTTGTGTTGCTTTTAGTGAAGTCACAATTCCATCCATTCCTGACCAAATAAGATGTATGAAATTATTTATTGCAACTGCGGAGGTATAATATCCCATGATTTTTTATTTTCAAAACTTTTTTTTTTCTGCTGATAAATTTATCTATTTTCGTTATTTCTGTCAATGATTTTTAGATTGCACTATTTGCTGGCCTGTTCTCTCATACTGAAGGGCTTCTTAATTCAGCCGTTGATAGTTTGCTATGTTTGGACGTGTCAGGTTAGACTGTAATTTCACATTTGCTATATATAAATTTGAAAGCTTTGTCATACTGTAACACTCCTTTGAACTTAGTAATACCGTGTTATTTTCAAAACACTAAGCACAATATCATGGACAAGAGGATTTTTTATTTTTTATCTTTTTGGCTTCAATGTGCAAAGTACAAAGCGAAACTAAAATACCCATGAATTGTATATCTTATATGCATTTTTTTCAATCATGTAATAGTTTTTTTAATAAATGCCAAAATAATTCCCAACTATTTACATGAGGTTGCTTTAGCTCCAGAGTTTATAGAAGTGTGAAAATAGTCCCCAGATTTTTTAAATTGAGGCTGAAATAGTTTCTATGGCGGACCATTATAGCTTAATTTCAAAAAGGTCGGGAACTATTTTGGTAGTTTTATAAATTATGGGATTAAAACGGCCTAATTTAAATAGTCAGGGATTATTCTGGCACTTTACTTATAATTTAATTAACCAATCATAAACTAGATTAAGTAATACTTTTCAATAGTTATATGAAGCATTTAATAACAGAAGTTCTTTGTTATTTAAAGGTCAAAAGGGATTTGATGATATAAAAGGTGATGGAAAAATTGTTAAAATAGCTTTTTTATAGGATAATTTTTGTTGCTCTTAACGGCTATTGTGTGAGAAATTTGTTGCATTTGTTAGATGTAGTTCTTAATTGCTTACTGTAGAGAAGTGTGTGAGAAATTTGTTGCATTTGTTAGATGTAGTTATTGCTTACTGTAGAGAATGAAGAGAATGCAATAGAGCCGAATTGGAAAAAGTTGTAGCGCTATTTATTTACCGAAAGGTTTCCTTGAGGAAAATTTTCATCTTCGACACAAAGTGTTGGCTAGTATTCCTTGGATTGCAGTTGCTGGGTTTTGGCAATTAGCAAAATGGGGAAGACAACCAAGATAGTTGGAGATGGCTTATATGGTAAAATCAATGAAGCTATGAGCTAGCTTGGAGATTTCAAGTAAGATGGTTAAGGTAGATTTGGGAAGCCATGTGATGTTCGAAATTTCTGTGAAACAATCGGTCAATTATGCAATTATACGTGTTGATTAAGTAATATATGGATAAAAAGTCTACGTATCTATCCCATGAGGAACGTTGTTAAAATATTTCTAACAAAAGTTCTAGTGTACTAAATCGCTGAATCTAGTTTGAAGTGATTTAAATGACAAGGATGAAAATCTAGCGGTCCTAAAAGGAGCAGGAAACAAAAAAACAGTGAAAAAATGGCAAGAGAGAAGATGGAGCAACTTTATTCATTCAGAGGTAATGAGATTCGTGCTCCTATGACAATAGTATAGTGTTTTCTTGATGTTTTTCCTTCGAGTTCCCTTATGTGATAGTTGACAACCGGGGACAAAATCTGTGACGCTAAAAATTCTGCTTTTAATTCTGCTTTATAATAGAATAGATACTAAGGAGGGTGAAAAATATATGTATAAACTAGCCAAATAAAGAGAAAAGAAAAGTAAAGATTTAAATCAAGTAAAGTGTATTAAAGATGAAAATCAAAAAGTAATTTTCTTAGAAAAAAATATTTAACATAGATGGGTGAGTTACTTTGATAAACTTTTTAATAAATTTTCTGAAAATACAATTGACCTTAGTGATTTTAATATCGTGAATAATAATAAAACGTTTCATTTTTACCGTCGCATTAGCAAAAAAGAAGTTGACGAGGCTTTAAAGAAAACAAAGGGTGGAAAGTCTGTAGGACCTGATGATATCCCAATTGAAGTGTGGAAATATTTGGGAGATTTTGGAGTTTCTTGGCTTACTAAACTCTTTAATATTATTTTAAACACTAAAAAGATGCCTGAGGAGTGGAGGAAGAGTATTTTGGTCCCCATTTTTAAGAATAAATGGGATGCACGAGAGTGTGCAAATTATAGAGGAATTAAGTTGATGTGTCATGCTTTAAATTTATGGGAGAGAGTAATTGAACATAGGTTAAGACACATCATAAAAATTTCTCATAATTAATTTGGATTTATGCCGGGCAGGTCTACTATGAAAGCTATACATTTATTGAGAGGTTTGATGGAGAAGTTCAGAGATAATAAGGAGAATCTACATTTGATTTTTATTGATTTAGAAAAAGCTTACGATAAGGTTCCAAGAGATATCCTTTGAAGAGTTCTTGAGAAGAAAGG